TCTTCTCTTCTCTGAGATTTGAAGTCGCGCGCAGATCAACAGCCTAACGAGACTTGTGCCGCTGAGTGCAGTACATCCAGTTGAACGCTAGATGGCAAGAGTACCACATAAAATATAAACATGTTGTAGAAGCGTCCTCCTCTGTGTGTATATATAAATATAAATATATATATAATTAGACCACTAATAAAGTGTTTTAAAACACAGTATGAGGCAGATGTTCTGGAGACTCGGGGGGAGGAGAAGAGGGGACGGGGTTAGAGGGTAAAATGTGTTTTTTAAAATAATTTTTGTTATTGTTTCGTTTTTTAAAATCATTCCATTAAAGATGAATTGCAGAACTAAGTGCAGCTGATCAGGTCCAAATTAAACATCCTCAGAAAACGGACTCTTCAATGGAAATGAAGAGTTTTTTCTATAAAGAGAATATTTAATTTTAGACATGAGGAGTGTTGGCTGAAGCACCAGCTTATTTTTGTCTCCCCCTTCGTGGTCCACAAAGGAAGTCACATTCCCAGAAATAACATTTTTTTTTCTTCCTTTTCTCCCCCCCCCCATCTTTTTTTTTACATTTTGCTGTTCATTCTAATATCCCTGTGACTGTGACTCAGTTTCTAAATATTTTGCATTTGGTTTTTCCAAAATGAACAGGTAATGTTTCACAGTGTGGTTCAGATGTGTTTTATTGTGCGGCCTGTCAGGCTGTGTTTGTCCAACTGTGGGACGACTGTGGTGTCACGTGTCAGGCTGCGTGTTTCACCGTCGTTTGTCTCTTCTTTGCACAGTATAACCAGCGAGGCCGGAGCTTCCATCTACAGCGTCAGTCCTGAGGCCATCAAGGAGATGCCAGACCTGGACCCCAACCTGAGGAGTGCAGGTGGGCTTCATGGACACCCAGAATGACCTGTCTGTCTGTCTGTGTCTGTCTGTGAACATTTCCACAGAAGACCATGTGGTGGCGCTCTCATGCTTCAGCCGGTTGACGCAGTTTGTCGCTGAGTCTTTTAATCACTCTCTGACTCATTGCTGATCATTTTCTTTTGAACAGCCATCGGGACATTGTTCCTTTGTAATTACAACCAGTTATTAAGGAAACTGAGGCTGAACTATTGCACCCTGACAATTCTGTCACAGCGCCTCTAAAACACTAATCACTTAATTACTAACCTCTAATTGCTCTAAAACAGTTGCTGTGATCAGTGATGGTGTGGAGTTGCTGTTGAATCACACGCTGATGGGTTCAAAAGGTCAAGAGTTCACGCTGAGGGAACTACTCTCACAGTGTGTGTTTGTTGAACACGGTGATGATTCCGTATTTATCTCTCAGTCCTGAAATTTCACAAAGATCGCCCATTTTCTCCCTCCCTCTCGCCGTCTCTCACCCACTGCACACTCTGCTCCACTGAAGCCCTGGTAGGAGAAAAACAGCACCAGACTGAATGAAGAGAACAAATGTTTCCAGCAGACTTCCTCCATAAAGTCCATAAATCACAGGAGGCTGGATTATTTCTTGCTGGTTTCCTCTGGTCAGTGCTGGGGAGACGAGCGTCTCATTCCCTATGAAAGTCCTGAGGAAGTAGCAGCAGTGGGTGGAGACAAAGGACGGAGCTGTTGGATGTTTTCCTTTATCATTTTGTTTTGGTAAATGGAGGGTGGGGGTGCCCCCCCCACATCTCCACTGTCCACTGCAGGGACACCTATGGTCAATGTTTAGACAGAGACGGTTGTGTTCAGTGCAGTACTTGTACCTGTGTTTGACCCCCTCGCCCCCCCCACACCTGTTCTCTCTGACCATCAGTACGTTTGTCATTGGTCGCTGGTTTCCTCTCCGTCCCAAAGCTTTGTGCTGATGTTAGTTGTAAACGTCCAGCGGTTGTTCCTCCTGGAAGGTGGAGGCAGAATATGGATGACAGGAGCAGCACAGAGAGGTTAGGTGGAGCATCGACCAAGGCTGGGTTTGAAACTCCATCTTTTTCTAAATATTATCTCAGGCAGCAGCCTAGCACCGCAGCCAGGGAAGGGGAGAGGATGGAGGGGTGAGGGGGGGGGGGAGGGGGGGGGGGATTCCACACTCACTCTCTCTGTTCCCTCCCACTCTTATTCTCTCTCTGTCTGTTGGTTCCACCTCAGGGATCAGACTCTGAGGTCGGTGATGCACCCTGGTTCACCGCTGAGCCACTGCTGCAACTCACAGGAACATTGGATACACACACACACAACCATGACAGTGCACCACACAAGAGGGCGCCGAGGAAACGGACAAACTCAGGCCGGTGTCAGATCATGTGACTCACCAACAGCTGTTGTTGTGATAAAATATGTGATAAAAGAATAATACGATATGTAAAATATGGTTTGCGTTAGGAGTGTGTGTTGTCAGTAATCTGACGATACGATATGTATCACGATACGGGGGCAACGATACATTATATTGCGATATACTGCAATACTACAGGCACAATATATTGAGGTGTTTTTTTTTCTCACCAGTGTAACTGTAGTCAGAGTGTGATCCTAGTCTCAGACTCTGTTCCATCTGAACATCAGTTACTAACACTGGAACAGAGGGATCTACATTTGGAATCACTAGAGAAGAAAGAAAAGAAAAAGAAAATGAACCAACACCAGGAATATTGGACTGGGAATTGGTGAGAAAAAATTAATACACTGATGGAGGTATCAGGAAATGAAATATCACAAATTCTCAGCGTACTGATATTTCTAACATCCATAGTGTGTACCTCTGTTTACCCCCCCCCCCCCCCCCCCCTCCACTCATGCCTGTGTGTGTGACTCTGCGGTGACTTTAGGTTCTGACAACAATAATCTGGAGCCTGTATGGTCACAGGTGCACAGACACTGTTTACAGTCAGGGCCTTAATTATCATTAAGGGTTAAGGAATGAAAATGAGGCCCGTCCTGCCCTCGGGGCAACAGTGTTGGCACATGAGGGCAATTTATGTTTTCACTCATAAATCATAGAGATTTGAATATTGAATAAGTTTGATTTTGAAAACACAGAACCTCATTAACCCCCCCACCCCCCCATGTGTGTTTGTCCCGACAGTGTCCATTGGAAGACGGGTCCAGGATCCACTGGCTGAGCTTGTGAAGATTGATCCCAAACACATAGGCATCGGAACCTACCAGGTATCAGTCAAAATGATAACCTTACCAAACCATACATTGATTGATTGAGTGATTGAGTGATTGACACTTTATTGATCATAAAAACCAAGGTTTCCTCCTGTTTGGGTGATGACATTTAAAGAGAGAGAAAATGGTAGTATGTGAGAGAGAGTGTGTGGGTGGGTTAGTGAGTGAGTGTGTTTTCGGTCACAGGGCAGCTTCTCTCATCAGCCCTGACCGGGGCTCTCCAGGGTGCCTCAGTTTCTGCACCTCCTGCCCTCAGATCATGTGACTGGGTCAACAAATGATAATGTATCCAAGTAAATAAAGAGAGGGTGATGACAGCTAGGAGACGGGCCCTGAGGTTGACCTACATCTGGGTTCACACACACACACACACCCACACTGGTTGTGGGTCTGCTCTGTGTTTGTGCAGATATTCACCAGAGTAAATACTTTCCAGTGAAGTACACACATTTGTGAGGTTTTTTTTTCCAGAGTTTTCCTCTTTTTCTCTGTCAGAGTTTACTTCCATTAGACCGTGGCAGCTCAGAGGCAGGTGTAACTATAGACTGTCGGCACAGCAGGCTCTTCTCCCCTCCTCCCTCTGCTCACTGAGTGAGTGGCAGCTCTGGCAGACCAGAGGAAATGAGCCCAGAGTCGAGTGGGTCAGAACTGCTGTCTCCCCCTGCAGCCTCACCTCTCTAATCTCTTGAAATGGACGGTAAAGTCCTGTTCATATCAGCGGCCAATCAAATGACACGAGAGTAATTACGCACTCAGTGGGCGTGGCCTTTGGACAGCTCCTCCAACTGTCAATCAGCTCTTTGTGCTGCAGTGGTCTGTTGACAGCTTGGTAATCCCCGGGGCTGAGTCTTAACTACTGGAAATTACACACACACTCACACACACACACACACACACTCAGAGTAAGTGTGCAAGTGTAAGGAAACATTAACTGCTGTCTGGATATGAAAGAAACTGTCAGTCTCACCCCTCAACCCTCACCCCTCACTCTCTCTTCTCTCAACATTCTCTGCAGGAATTCAGTGGTTTTGTCTTTTCTTTAAACGTTCACTCAGATCAGATCAGCTAAACACAAACCAGCGACGTCAGCCAAAAATAACAAGCCTATACATATGATTTAATTTTTATTTTAAGTAATAATTAATGTAGTTATATTATGTTGTCTATATATCATCATTATGTCGTCTATATATTGTCTATATATCAAAAATAACAAGACTATACATTTGATTTAATTTTTATTGTCTATATATCCAAAATAACAAGATTATACATTTGATTTAATTTTTATTTTAAGTAATAATGAATGTAGTTATATTATGTCCTCTATATATCATTATTATTTTGATTATAGAATGTAGTTATTATATTATGTCGTCTATATATCATTATTATTTTGATTATAAATGAAACGGAGAGAGAACGGGCATTCACCTATTTCTACAGTGATTTCATCTCACTTTCCCACAGACACAGGATGTAGTGTGTGTGTGTGTGTGTGTGTGTGTGAAGCTGCAGTCATTCCTCAGTGCTGTGCCTAGAGGGGAGACATACAGAGGTGGGAGGAGGAAGGAGAACCAGCGCAAGGTCTGGGTGAGGAACTCTGACTGACGCCTCCTGTCTCTTCATCCAAGTCGTGGGAAAAAAAGTAGAAATATCTGGAGGAGTACTGAGTACTGGCTGAACCTGAGGTGATACAGTTTCACTCATTTCCTGTAGCCGTGTCACAGCCTGTCCTGTAACAACAGTGTGACTGGGGTGGACAGGTTGGTGGACAGGTTGGTGGACAGTCTGTTCATGACTTCCACTTCACTGTCCAACAGTTATGTCTGTGTGCTACAGCTGAGAAAAATAATTGAGCTTTTATTCTAGTCCAGTGGGCTAAGGTGGTGGACAGAGGAGGTCCAGTGGGAGGCTCCATGGTCCATGGTGTTTTCAGATGATGTAGTATGCAGTAGGAGGTTGTGTAGGAGGAGAGCGCAGGTGGAAGACATCCTGAAGGTGGAAAAGCAGTTCCAAAAATTCAAAAACGAGTGTATGGGGGTGTGTGTGTGTGTGCGAGCGTCTGCGTCTCTTGGTGGAGGCTGAGAAACGTTTATGAAACTCTGTCAGGAGAACATAAATCCGTCTCCTGGATGCCACCTTCACTTTCCCCCTCTGATTTATGACAGAGGAAGGATGCGTGCAGGTGTGTAGCTCATGACCTCGGACCCCCGTCTTCACTGTAACATAAGCCTCGGGGCAGTGGTGTCAAACTGCAGGTTCATATCCTGATGATCTCAGACTCGAGCATCAGTGATCCAGGATGCTAGCCTGTATCTAGAGAGCAAACTGGCGCCACCACAGGCTGCGGTCGTGCATGACTCAACGTTTAACTGCGAGTGACAGAAGCGTCCACGGGACGCGGGGTGCTGCGTTTCTAGCTGGAACTGTTCTGTTCGTAGTCGGCTCTCACCTCGGTAAGGTTTCCAGAAGAATTTGAGATTTTATTGACTGCAGGTTTAAACGCACACCACCTCACACACACCTTCACCTTTCTTTCTCATGTGAAAACGCTCTTCTTCTTGGGTGTGACATTACAGGTGATTTCCTCTCTGCTCTCTGACAGCCTTCCTCTCTCAGCGGTGACACGGTGGATGTCATCAATCTTCCTGTTCTTCCTCTCATTGTCGGGGCAGTTGTTTTTTATTACCTTCAAAAACCCCTGCAGCTGCATAGTCAGAGCAAACCAACACAGCTAGTGATGAGCTCCACAGCTACCTCAGTTCTCACGTAGCTTAACCACCCGTGTACATGAACTGTACGTAAAGTATTCTGCTAAAGCAAGAGTCTACTTTTACTCTCTCCTATTTTAACTTCTATACTTTTGAAGTATATAAAGTAAATGTTTAGAACCAGTTGATCAAGTTTAACAACATTAAACTTCAGAACAAAAAAGAAAACCTCTGGGTCATGGACCATCTGCAGGGTCCATGCATGGCTGCTGTGTAGAGGTGTAAGAAAATATAATATTTCCTCTCACTATACCCTATCATTGATTGATCCGCCATCATTGATTATTGATTTTTTTTCTCACCAATTCCCAGTCCAATATTCCTGGTGTTGGTTCATTTTCTTTTTCTTTTCTTTCTTCTCTAGTGATTCCAAATGTAGATCCCTCTGTTCCAGTGTCAGTAACTGATGTTCAGATGGAACAGCAGCAGAGTCTGAGACTAGGATCACACTTTGACTACAGTTACAGTGGTGAAAAAAAACCCTCAATATATCATCGTGACTATAGTATCACAGTATATCGCAATATGTCGTATCGTTGCCCCCATATCGTGATACGTATCGTATCGACAGATTCTTGCCCGTGCGCAGCCCCACCGCTGCAGAGGCCTTGTGACAGGATGAAAAACACATTTGAATTTATTGTCATGAATTCTTGAGTTAGTGTCCTTGTTGTTCAGGAAGATCTTCTTCTTCTCTACATTTACTGTAAAGTCTGTAGTAAAGGTGGGGCAGTAGAAGTACCCACCTGCCTGGACTGTCCAGGTGTAAATATCCTCATGTTTCTACATGAAACAGTATCAGAAGGAGTTCCAACACCTGCGGTTTCTAACGACAGCTGAAGAACTGAAGGAGTTTGTTGTCCTGAGGGGCGCATGACACCGCCACCCAGGGGGCATTAAAATAAACGTGTCTGTGAGGACAATGTTTGATCAGCTAATATATTTTTTACTGTGGGTGATGTTAGGACTGTTAACATGCTAATGCATTCATTTTAATAAGTCATAGAAGTTAAAGTGCTGCCAACAGTCGAAGTGAAACTTGAGCTCATCAAATAGAAATATTCTTAGACAAACACATAATTGTCACATGTGTTTGAAGCAGTTATTGGAAATATTTATTTTCAGTTGGTGTACTACAGTAGTACATGAGAATATGGTGAAAATACAACGGCTTTGTGCAGTGAACAGGTTGAGGTGAAAACATTCAGTAGAGTTTGACAGAATTTTTTTTTCATTTTTCTTTTGATAACATGCACCTCCTTCTCCAGCAGGGGGCACTACTCTTTGGATTCCACTCATTCAGTTCCATTATGGTCCTCACTGTGTTTCCCCAACAGAATACACTCTAGTGGCTTGTTTGAAAATGGATTAGTGTTTATGTTTTTGGTTTGAATCTTGAAGTTTCTGACTTCAAGTTTCTGACCTCAAATATTCGATGATTGAAGGGGCGACCTGGTGTTCCCCTGTCCTGATGTGTCCTCGTCTGTCCTCGTCTGTCCTCAGGCTTCACTGTTGACAGGGCAGGGTGTGTTTGTCTAGTATCTGTTTACTAGTCAGAGATTGTTCAGAGCCGATCTGGTTACAGTCACGTTAGTCCAAGACAAACAAACACATGTTGACGGATCAACACCACTGAACTACACCTGATTTGTGGTGACTGTTTTATTGTTCACGAAACTTCTGGGTTTTTAATTTTTTTATTTTAAATTTAATTAAAGCTGGCCACTGTTATAGAAGTTAGCCGCGATCGTTTCCTCAGATCCTGGTCAACAACCAGCTGCAGCAGTGATCAGGAGATTGCTGTGTTAGCAAAAAAAACAAACAGTTAGCAGTCAAGGTTGAATCTTAGCCCCGCCCCCCTCCTCCTCCTCCTCCACCTCCTTCTCCTCCTGTCAGCTCTTCTGCTTCTGTCTTCAAAATCTTTTTAATTGCAGTGTAACATGTCTGTTAATTAGTCAATCAATCAATCAACCAATCATTAAACAACCCTCCCCTATTCAGTACTTCCTGTCCTGTCCAACCAGTCAGTGACTCTGAACTGAACACTTTCATTCTGGTTCTGACCTCTGACCTCTAACTTTGTGGTTTATTGTTTGTTTGTTGTTTTTTTTTAATTTAGCACGATGTGTCTGCAGTGGCCCTGAAGGGGGCGTTGGACAGTGTGGTGCAGGAGTGTGTGAGCTTTGTGGGTGTGGACATCAACATCTGCTCTGAGACACTGATGAGGTAAGTCCTCAACCAAAGCAGAAGGAGCTGCAATTAATTAATCATAATTAGTTACTATGAATTTGTTTGTTTTTTTTTGTTTCGTTTTTTTTTTCATTTCTGTTTTTTCTACCAGACACGTTGCAGGCCTGAATGCCGGCCGAGCTCGCAGCATCGCAGAGTGGAGAGAGCAGAACGGACCCTTCATCAACAGAGAGCAACTGAAACAGGTCAGAGGAATGGGACCCAAGACCTTCCAGCAGTGTGCTGGGTTCATCAGGATCAACCCTCAGACCTTACACAGGTACTCAAACATCAAACCTTTGACTGACGACCGTCTGCTCTGAATGTTAGGTTCTCACTTGTATGTTGTATTGATGTGTTTTTCAGTACAAATGACTGTGAATTCATTGATTTAAAATTCAGGAAATTCACTTTTTCATTTGACTTTTTTTCAGTTTAAAATCCTCACCTCCACCTGTAGCTCCAACAGCAGAGAGAGCAGCTCCAAAGAAGGGCAAAGGAAGAACCTGTGTCAGTAAACCTTCATCCTTCAAGCCTCTGGACCAGACCTGCGTTCACCCAGAGTCCTACCATGTCGCTCAGAGGTATACAGTAGTACACAGACACACACACACACACACACACAAACACACACACACATCCAAAGCTCTTGTATCCCATGTCTGTGTAAATCAAATCAGTCCTTCACTCTTGAAACCAGCTCCATATGAGACGGTGTCAAAATCAACTCCACCTCTGGCAGAACATGCTTCAGTCAACAGGGTAGACCCCTCCTCAGGGCTGTGTGTGTGTGTGTGTGATATGGTGTGTGCTCCTGGTCTCGTCTGTGAATGATTGTTACTACACCTGATGCTGATATCCAAAATCCCATTAAACCTCTGCTCAACAGACTGTGTGTGTGTTACAGTATACGTGTGTGAGAGAGAGAGAGAGAGAGAGAGAGAGAGAGATGGTGCTTTGATGAAACTCTGCTCCTGTCACTCATTCTCATCCCAGTGTTTCTATCTGTTCTACACTGGATTGAATGACAGAAACTAAGGTGCTGTCATACATCCATCCATCCATCCATCCATCCATCCAACCAGTCTGTTCTGCCTTCAGATCATTGACTGCTGGGTCCAGCAGTGACAGTTTCATGGTGTCCACAGGTGACCACAGGTTCTCCTGGTGGACGTTTATAGTCAAATCTCATGTTTTCGTTCCCTC